TTCTTGATTTAGATTATGAAGAACACTTTCTTCTTTTCTCTCTTTTCAACACTTGAAAACTTTGGAAGAAAACTTACAAAATAACTTAGCTTATTTTGTAAACTCTTTACACATATTTATACTAAACTTTTTAGTATAAAATAATCAATAATTAGTAATATTTAAATAAAATCAGATTTTATTTAAATATGATTTACTAACTATTGACTTTTATATAATAAACAATTTAGAGTGGTTCCCTAACCTCTCTTAACCACCATTTATTATATTCACAATTATTTTTAATCTTTAATCATATTAAAGATAAAATAATAAAACATTAAAATAATAATTCTTGAAATTATTTTTCAAGACTTTATTATTTTAATCATTTCTTCCAATTTCCTTATTTAATAATCATATTATTATTTGAATTTGAAATTTAAAATCCTATTTTAAATTCCAAATATTAATTAGTAATTTCATTAATTACTAAATTAATATCCAAAATCCAATTAATCAATCCAATTGATTAATTTAATATATTCTTTTAATTGACATCTAATCAAATTAGATTTGTCAATTAATTCTAACTCTTTAGGATTACTATTTGAATTTTACCTTCATTCAAAAATTGGTGTGACCTTTTAGGTTCACTATTAATAATAGTAGTGGGTTTACAACTCTTTGTAATTTGAGTTATTCATATTAACTCTTATTCTTGAATTAACTCTTTAATTCAAGAACCCACATATCATGGGAACATCTAGCAAATAGCATGAATCTAGTATTAAGTGAATAGCGAGTAAACCTATTTCAATTACAATTACATACATGTAAAATCCTTTCGACATCTAATTTCCCGATTAAATCTTTGGGTATGATTTTGTCGAAACCCAAATTGATTTAATAACTATGATTCCATTTCAAGTTTAGTAATTCGTGTACGAATCTCCATTCATCCCGCCTTGGCCAAGGACTTTGAATTACTAACTACGAAACACATAGGAAATTCACTTATCTTCATAAATGTCGAATCCTTTATTGTCCACTAACAAACTTCCATACATATTAACATAATACCCAAAATATCCCTTTATACGATTGTGCTAGCAACCAAAAGGATAAATCAAAGTAGAATGTAATATGCACAAAGTTACCATTGTGCCTCAAGTCTAAGGACCAATCATGTACTATTGTAACATGAAAATACTTATTCGACAAGACAAATCTTTCATTAAGTATTTTCATACGGTCATGTTCTGTGAACTTATTCTCTAACAAGCACTCACATATATGTACTTGCGTCCCACGCTAATGTTGATGGAATGCAACATTCTTGTCCAACAAGCATACATACTATGTGCAATTCTTTTATGGATTATTCGATATCCAATCTCGAAACATCCATCGAATTGGAACTTTATTTAAGATCACTGCTTTCAAGGTATGTTCCATGATCACCATCTCTATGCGCAACCATACCTTGTAACATATGTGATCTAGGGATTTTATCTTAAGTGCAATTATATGATAAATGCTTACTCTTAAGATAAAGTAATGCCTTTTAATTAATATAATTCTAATAGATTGTATTTACAAGTAGAATACGTCCAATCAGATTGGAACGCCGGGTATACTACTCTAACAGTACAACCTTTGACTCATCTTTCCAAGTTTCTCGCAATTATAGCAAGAGCTCTTTCAGCACGCTATAATCAATCGTCGAACCTTCATCGCCATCACTATCTTCACTTTTTTTCAACTACAACAGCTTTGAGAGCCAGTCCCTTGTTTTTGACTTTTTCATAATTATTGTTGATCTCAAACGTCCTTAGTTCGCCAAGGAGCTCATCAACATCCAGAGGTTCAATTCCTTGGAAACTCTCAAGGGTTGTAATTTTTTCTCTGAACCTGGGAGCAACTGTTCTCATGATATTTTGAACTTGACGATTCTCAGAGACTTTCCAAGCATTGCACTTTGATTCACCATATCACAAAATCTGGCGTAGTATATGTCAATTGTTACTTCATCCCGCATCCTGATTTCATCAAATTCAAGAGTCACCCGTTGAAGTCGGAACGCCTTGACAGTTGTTGAACCTTCAAATTGACACTGTAGGATCCGCCAAGCATCTTTTGCAGTCTTGCTTTGAACTATCATCTTGTGTTTTGTCTGATGCATTGGCATCTTGATTGCGTACAAGGCACGGTAGTTGGCTTCTTCTTGAAGCTTCTCAACATCTGTCCAGTTATCTTTTGGTTTAAGTACCGTAGTCGTCGTAGCTCATTTTCCTTGATCTGGTGTTGCTGCCATGACAGGGTGCTCCCATCCTTTTTCAACACTTTTCCACGCACCTCTTCCAAGCAATCTTAGGAAGATCGTCATCACAGATTTCCAATACGAGTAGTTGGAACCATCCAATTGCGTAGGCCTAGACATCGATCCACTTTCTTGATTCATGCATGATTGCCCAGTAACACAAGTCCTTAGATCTTTCGTAATTCAAATGAAAACCCGCTCTGGTGCCAATTGAAATTTGATACTCGTACACCAAGTATAGAGTTGCGAACAATTTAACTGAAATAGAAATAAAGAAAGATTCAAACAAACACGGAAGTAGTTTCACTAGGAATTGAACCTTAAGGAGAGCGTCCCACTCTCCCTTCGGATCTCTTTCATTAATGCAAAAATCTCAAACACTCTTCAAGGGTTTACAGAATAAACGCCCTCTACACTAAACTTGAACAGTAATTTGCAATATTACTTATCTGACCACAAATCCCTCGTGGCTTTTCTAGTTCGAATCCCTCAAACTATATCAGAATGAACCTCCGAACACTCTGTTCAATCTCTCACAAATAAAACAAACTTAATATATGACTTCTCTCAAAAATAAAAAATATAGTCAATAATAATGTCCAAAAGTCATCTTCAACCCAGGTCTCAGCCTCCTTTTATCTTCAAGCTTCATTTTGGTAAGTCACTTTTTTCTTAGCCTCCAAGTTAAAATGCACATAAGGAAGGTCTCTTGATGCTCAACGCCGCACTCTCTCTCTTGCGATTATGGAAGGTGAATCCCAAGTTTATTCCCCATAGACCTGCTAAAATAAACATTCATTATTATTAATCAAATAATAAATAAAAAGAAAAATTACACATTACCTACCTAACTATCCTGAAATTTACACTTTGCCTACAAAACTTTTTTTTTACACTTTGCCTACCTAACTTTGATTTTTTATACACTTTGTCATTTCTTGTAATGCCCCATTTAGTTGTGGTTTATTCGAGGATTATTATTGATGATTATTATTATTGTTATTATTATTAATATTATTGTTATTATTATTGAATGTCTAAATATTATTATTTGTCAAATTGTAATTATTTGTCTAAATTTATATTTTTATCATTAATATTATTATTTTAAATTATTTTGTGTATTATATAAATATGCCGGTTTTATTTATTGTATTGAATCGATTGAGGATTTTGTTATCGCGTTGTATTTTTTTCGGCCCGATTAAATTGATTCGACCCTATTTGAGTTAAATTCCACCCTTATAAATTATTTAGGCTTGGCCCAAATTTGTTTCTACCTAATTTTTGGCCCAACAAGATGTAACCTCGACATCTTCATCTCTCGCGTTTTTGAACCGGTCGTCACCTTATCTGCAGTTTCAAATTCACGTTGCGATTTCTGTGGAGCTTATCCTCGCACGTTCTCTCCATTTTCCTCTCTAACTGATCAGACTCTAATACCCCCTATATATTAATTCAGAACGCGCTGAGCCTAAGTGGCAGGCTCGCATGCTTCGGGATCCTATGTGGCAAAATTACATGCTTCGTTATTAGGTTTGGGTAAATTTTAATTTAATTCCAAACCAAAAATAATTAGGTTCGGATTACCATAAATATGTTGATTATTTATGGTCATGTTATATGTATTAATTACATTTTAATACCATTTCTTATTATAACTATTGAATTGTGTATATATTTTAAAAGTGAATAACTTTTGTATTTTTATCAGTTTTACATATGTAATATATCAAATTAATCATCTTTTGATGAGATTCGATTTAACATCCATATTGTATGTATAAAAAAAATAATTTATATTTATTTTTATAACAATAATAATTTTTTTTTAATATTAATTAGAAAAATAAAATTATTTATCAACTAATATATTTATGTTTCAAGTAGTTATATGATAAAAGTTATAAAAATTTGATATAATATAATACCTGTAAGTCATAAGTAACACGTCTCATTCTACAATATATAGTAATATATATTTTTGTAATAAAATAAATTAAATTTAGTATAGTCTTTTCATTAATTTTAAAATTTAATAATAAATTTTTAACAAGCACCCGTGTAGTACACGGTGTTCTACAAGTATATATATAGGAAAAGACTTGAGTACCGTTGTGCCTTTTTGCGGGATGATTCCGCTATGTTGGGCCAATAAAAATTTGAAAAATCAGTTTGGTTTAGTAGGCTCGCAGCATGTGATCATTTCCCTTGATGAGTTTACAACCGGCTACAGCAAGTTGCTTCCGGTTTCAGACAAAGTGCAATCGACTCACGGCTCTCCCAACAGAGCTCTCGATTTTTCCACTAATGGCACTAGGTTCCTCTCTTTTCCTAACTCCTTTCGAGAGCTAAGACTTGTGCAATCGACTCACGGCTCTCCAACAGAGCTCTCGATTTTTCCACTAATGGCGCTAGGGTTCCTCTCTTTCCCTAACTCCTTTCGAGAGCTAAAACTTGTGCAATCGACTCACGGCTCTCCAACAGAGCTCTCGATTTTTCCACTAATGGCGCTAGGGTTTCTCTCTTTCCCTAACTCCTTTCGAGAGCTAAGACTTGTGCAATCGACTCACGGCTCTCCAACAGAGCTCTCGATTTTTCCACTAATGGCGTTAGGGTTCCTCTCTTTCTCTAACTCCTTTCGAGAGCTAAGACTTCTGCAATTTGTTGAACCTCTGCGCCTATAAATCACCGACCGATGGAGGACGACGGCGCTGGACCCACCTCCAAGATCCCCGACGAACAACCACTCACCGGTTCCATCCCCGACTGCAGCGCCTTTCCCACCGCAAACCCCTGTTATGATGCATACTCTGCCAGTACCAGGCGGAGGCGGAGATCATCCCGGACGATCTCCACCGTCAGGCCCACGACCACGCCCTGGCCCTCGAGATGGGGTAGAGGAAAAATGGTGGTAAGTGAACAGGCCCTACTGTGAGGTCTCGCATTCGTCAGGTAATAATAACACCAACAAAAGCTCGAGTTTTTGGGTTTATCTCAAGGGTTTGACGGAGGGAGTTGCGGGAGGTGTTGGGGTGAGCAAATTTTGCAGGGGGAAAGAGGGGCAAGCGAATCCGGAGCTTTTGGATTTCGAAGCTCTAATTGAAGGGTTCGATCAGATCCAAATTTATTTAGCTTCTGTGTTTGCAATTTATGTTCGATCATCATCTCTTCATTTTCTCTTATAGTCACGTGAAAAGCTTGAGTCTTGTTTTTTCCCTTTCCAGCTTTTGGGTTTTTTCAAAGTTCGGATTTTGCCCTTTCCTTGTCTATGGCCGAGGTTCATATTCAAATAGAAGTGGAAGAATCTAGAATCCCACATGAAACCACGCCTCTGATTAAATGTCCCGGCGCAACCCATGAACCAAACAGCCCAGATGAGCAAGAAGATGATAAAGAGACCCACTTGGATAAAACCCCCCAAAGCTTGCATTTTTTCCTATCATTTTTGGGATTTAACCAGTTCTCGATATGGAGTTTTGTGATATCTTGGGCGGTTTTTTCAATGATCAGGATTTTTCTTCCGGTGGTGGTGCTCGAGTTCTCTGACTGTCCAGGGTGTGAAAAGGGCCAAATCAAGAGCTTTGAGATTGATATAGTGATTTCTCAGGCTTGTTTGGCTGCTTCATCTTTGATATGCCTTTTGCATAATTTGAGGAAATATGGAGTTAGAAAATTTTTGTTCGTTGATCGGTACAGTGGATATGTGGAGAGGTTCAGTGGGCAATATGTGCAGAAAATCTCTGTGAGATGCTTCATTGACTTCTTAGTTCTTATTATTATCACATTTGATTTATTCGGCCTCATGGCCAGTCGAATTATAACTTGATTTTAGATTGAATTTGGTGACTAAAATTGGTTAGTTGATTCAAATGAATGAATGCATTGTTTTGTTGAAATCTTGTGACTTCAGTTGAAAGCACTTTAAGATCTTTCTTGGTAGTTTGTTGTTCTTGTGAAGTTCGATGCGATATTTGAGTTATGAAAGTCTGGATAACATTATATCACGAGGCAATGAGGCACAAGGATGTGAGTTAAAGGATATTCTCTAAAAATGAGTAATATTCAAACTATCCATTATAAATAGTATTACACGAATATAACATTATTTCAGGCTCTCTTTTTTACTTTATTTACAATGTAACACTTTATTTGTGCTATTTTGTAATAAAAGAAACATATTTGATATCAATATTTGTGCTCAAAACTTGAATTTGAACTCTGAAATTTTCAAAATTTTGTGTTCCAAGTTTTATATTTTCATAAGAAACATATTTGTGCTCTTTTCTAAACATATTTTGATAATATATGCATCATTTTATTCACTTTGTTTTGCAATGTAACACTTCATTTATGCAGGAATCTATGCGCACATTAGTACTATGGGTGCTAGCTTGTTGCCTTTTGAAAACCGTACGTGAAATCGTACGGTTTTCTTATGTTCATCACGGGACATGGTGGCAATCTGCTGTTATTTCATTGGCTTTCGTGCTTTCTTGGACATACGTGACAACCATAATTTTGTCATCGTGTATCTTGTTCTATGTGGTGTGTAATTTGCAAATTATCCATTTTGATGACTATGGGAAGCTTCTGGAAAGAGAACCAAATATAGTGGTCCTATTACAAGAGCATGCTCGCCTGCGTTTTTACCTCTCTAAAATAAGCCACAGGTTTAGAATATATCTTCTTCTGCAGTTTGTGATTGTGACCATAAGCCAGTTCATGACTTTTAATCTTGTTTGCCATTTCATGGAAAATTGGAACGGTCTTTTATTCTGTGGGCCCTTTTTGTAGTTTCTTTGGCACTTCAAGGAATCTTCCGTGGTTTCATTTGAAAGACAGAACCATTGGTTTCTTTGGCACTTCAACAAGAACCAACGGTGGTAATTTTGAACCTAGGTTCTTGTTTATTTTCTTGGAACTCGTTCTTACAATTTGTTCAATTGCAGACCAAATTCTGGACTGGTGGGGTTGGGGGGCTCTCACCTTTGACCTATGGATACAATGCTATTGCAATGAACGAAATGTTTGCTACGAGATGGATGAAAAAATTGGTATACCTCAAGTCAACATTTTTCTAGTAACATTTTGTTTCTTTTCTATTTTTCTTGGTTGTAATAAAGTAACTTCATAATATGATATCTCGATCAGTGCAGGCCTCAGACAACATAACTAGATTGGGAGTGGCTATTTGAACATCTTTAGTATCTTCCCACAGAGAAACTGGTACTGGATAAGGGTTGGTGCCCTTTGTGGGGTTCACGCACAAGTGACAAGGAAAATGCCACAAACATTATGTGACGGCCAAATTGCACCATTATGTGATCACCTCAGGGGACTCAACCTATCAATATTTGCTTAAGAGGCTCTTCCTCTCGAGATCGAGGAAGCTCATCAAGAATTACATTTTCGAGTGTAGTGATGTAGAAGCAATTGTACTTGTGGAGGACATCTTGAGTTTATTGAATGGTGTGGGGTCTTGGTCTTTTGTTTAAGTTTTTTTTCGAGTGTTGTGTCTTTTGCTTTGTATGCTTTGCTACTGGTGTTTTTGTATTCTGTTTTAGTGTAGTGATGGCCTGCTATGGTCTTGTTAGGGGCTTATGTGGTATCCTCTATTGAGTTTCTTGGGTGTGCTTATGTGTTCCCGGGACACTTGTGTTGTAACACGTTGGTAATACGGTTGTACATTTCTTGAGTTTAGTTATAAAATTTGATGTTTGGATTAAAAAA